CTATGTATTGGGCCTCTCCTGGGGCACGATTCCTTGGTGTTTTACGCGTGTTCCTATAGATTGCCCTTCTCCTGTGGCTCTAATCCGCAATGTTTTATGTACGTCTGTTGCTATAGATTGCGCCTCTCCTGGGGCACGAAACCTTCCTAGGAGGTCCCAGGAGGTCCCAAGAGGCTCCTGGAGACCCCAGGAAGCCCCAGTAGGTTTCAGGAGGCCCCAGGAGGCCCAGGCTCATGCACAGAGACGCGCTGGTACTACTGAGGCTCATTCACACTCCAATTCATTCTCAGTTAGATTGATGTCCAGACCGTCACAACTGAAGCCCGTTAATATTCGAAAGCTCTTGCGCCTAGACATTCACGGCGGACAGGTCCATGCGATTAGATGCACATATGGGGAGCTCCACGCAGTGAATAATTCATACTCACTGTACCAGACCTGGGCACCGTCAACAACAAAGTCCTGGCGAAGGACCCAACCATACGCGGTTGTGACTACCGCTGCTGTGAGTATCGCCTTCGGTGGAGCTCCCCATGGAGGCACCACGCGTGTGAGGGGTATGCCAAAACGGGTGTGATACCACCATGTGGACGGTGACGGAGGAGCTCCCCATGGAGCCACGACACGTGGGGTGTACCGAAACGGGTGTGACGCCACTATTTGGACGGTGCCTCCGGGGCCTTCGGCGGAGCTCCTCATTTGGGGACATGAGACGCGTGAGGGGTGTGCGGAGCCGAGCCGGGTGTGATCCACCTTGTGGACGGTGCTTCTGGGGCCTCGGGCGGAGCTCCCCGCGCGGCCACGCAGCGTGTGAGGGGTGTGCCGCAGCGGGCGTGGCGCCACTGTGTGGACGGTGCCCCGGGGGCCGCCCGCAGAGCCTCCTCCTGTGGGAGCCGGAGACGCGTCGCAGCGCGTGGTGACGCCACGTGCACGGGGCCTCTCCGCCGGCGGAGCTCCCCACGCGGCCACGACGCGCGTGAGGGGCGTGCCGGGATGGCTGTGGCAGCGGGAGGAGTGAACGCATGGCGCTCTCTCTTCAAAACGAGGGCCCAACACCACAGGATGGTTGGGAAGAGCTCCAGGGCCCCGCCCGGAAAGACGCCCGCGGCCTGCAGGGCCCGGCCCTGCCGTGCCGACTGTGCCTCTGGGGCCTTGGGGGTGGAGCTTCTTCTGACGCAGCCACAAAGGCTGCGAGGGGCGTGCCGAGATTCGTGTGACGCCCCATGTGGACGGTGCCTCCGGGGCCTTCGGTGGAGCTCCTTACGGGGCCACGAGGCGCGTGAGGGGATTGCCGAGCTGAATGTGACGCCCCCATGTGGACGGTGCCTCTGGGACCTTCGGTGGAGCTCCCTACGGGGCCACGAATCGTGTGAGGGGCGTGCCGAAACTTGTGTGACGCCACTACGTGGACGTTGCCTTTGGGCCTTAGATGGAGCTCCCTACGGGGCCACGAAACGTCTGAGGGGTGTGCCAGACTGGCCATGGCGCCCCCATGTGGACGGTGCCTCGGGGGCCGTCGGTGGATTTCCCTGTGGCCCAACGCCACAGGACGGTTGGGAACAGCATCGTCAAAACGCCTTGATCCTCGACCCTCCTTTACGTTCGGGTGCAACTCCTGGGGGGTCAAATTCTGATTTTGCCCTGGTCCTAAATCTGGCTTCGTCCGGCTAGATCCCGTGTCATCCCGCTGGATCCCGCTCATTCCGGCTCAATCCCGCCCGACTGTCGGCCTGGCCCGGCGCAGCTGCCCCCCAATGGGGTTTAATCTTCTTCAATCTTTCCGGCGAAGACCTCCCAGTAGTTTCGAAGAAGAAAAACGTCATAAACATAACCCCCCCCCGGCGGCGCCTGCGGCGCCGCCCCTGGCGCGCTCCGCGCGTCAGGGAGGGGGGTCCAGCGCAGATCCAAGAAATCCGCGCGGAACGCCAAAAGTTATATTTGTGGCGTGCTTTCCTCCTCTATACTTGTTCCCTAGTTTGCGCGGCAGGAGCCGGTCGTGCCGTCGAAGCCCCTGCGCGAGATGAGCGTCAAGAACACGTTCATCACCATCCCAGAGGACGAGCTTGAGCCGATGCAGAGGCCGCCCGCGGTCCCGCCTTCGTGGGCCTCTCTCGGCATCGTTCGGGCGTCTGCATTTTTTCCCTCGGCGAGGACCATCGAGGAGCTGTTGTTGCTGCTGCTGCTGCTCCTGCTCCTTCTGCTCCTCCTCCTCCTCCTCCTCCTCCTCCTCCTCCTCCTCCTCCCCCTCCGTGGATCCTCTGGCAGAAAAACACGCACGGCACCGGCACACACACAGGGAGTGGGCGCCCGAGCGGTGGCAGGTGGAGCCCTGTCTCCCCTCTCCCGCCCGACGTGAGCAGCTTGGGAAGGAGGAGGAGGAGGAGGAGGAGGAGGAGGAGGAAGAAGAAGATGAAGAAACATAATAAGAAGAAAATAACTAAGAATAAGAAGAAGAGGAGGAGGGGAGGAGGAGGAGGAGGAGCAGGAGGAGGAGGAGTGTGGAGCAGATAATCGCCAGTGGAGTGTGGAGTCTCCCTGCACGCCGTATGTTAGCTGGTAAGAAGTTGTCAGCGAGCCAGAAACGTCTCTTGGTGGCAGTCTTCTCAGGAGGTTACACTACAGCTCTGGACCTCCAGAAGTGGGGCTATAACACTGATGGCAGTTGCAAGTACTGTGGACGACCAGACAGTGTACATCACCGAGCGTGGATATGCCCACACTTCGAACCAGATCGGGAGGGAATCGATCAGGAGATTTTGGAGATGGCTAAGCAGGAAGGGGAGTCAGACCCGCTCTTCACCCACCTGTGGATGCCAACTCCTGCCTTGACCTCGTTCCCTGTCGAAGACATGTATGTGCAGTACTTTGAGTACAGAAATGGACAGTATGTAGAAGTTGATGCCTTTGATTCTCCTGAAGGAGGTCATCTTTTCTCGGATGGGAGCTGTCTTTCATGGGGAGAAACCAGGTGTGGCCCGAGCAGGATGATGCGTTTGTCAGGTCAATGATGATGGTGACCTCTTGCGCTGGATCCAGGGCACGATGCCGTCCTCCTTCAACCAGACAGCACCAGCAGCCGAACATTTTGGAGTAGTTGCTGCAATCAAGCCTGCAAGTCTAGGGAACTCTCGTTCCCTTTGTTTGTAGATTGTCAGAGCCTCCTAGATGGCACAGCAGACCCTCTTAGAGCTCGCAGTCACACCAATGCGCACGCAGCGTATTGGAGACTTGCTGGGCCCCTGAGGGTAAATCTTCTGAAAGTCAAGGCTCACAAGAGTGAGTCAGAAGCTCAGACGCCGCAGGACCTACTGAACATACGTGGGAACGCCCATGCAGACAGCAGAGCCAAAGATGTGGCCAGATATAATAATCTTTCAGTTGATGACTAAAAAGCGTTTAAAGAGAGCTCAGCGCTATTTAAACAAGTTGCTACTGCCATGCATACGATACTAGATTTATGGACTCCTACTAAAGAGCTGTATGGTTCCCTGGAGCGGGTGCCCCGCCCCCCGCCCCCGCCTCCCCGGGCTCGCGTGCCGCACCGTGCGGCGCTTGTCGGGGGGATCTGGCGCTGTGTGTCCTGCCACAGAACTGGGAGCCGGCTCTTAAGTAAGACAGCGTGCCGAAACCTGTCCGAGTCCATGAATTTGATTTAAGTGTTGCACTGAAGCCTGGCTACCAGCACACCCTGTGGATGACCCAAACTGTGGTTGGCGGTGCTCCAGTGCTGTGCTGTTCGGGATGCGGCGCTATGGCGGCTAGTCGGGCTATGAAGCTTCGTGACCCTGACTGCCGCCCAGACCCTAGGAACAGGGATCTGAGCAAGCTGAAGCGGGGGATTCTCCCAGGTGGCACGGGGGCGGGGGCGCTCCTAGAGCGACCCTGGCCCATCCGCCACTCCCCCGCCGCGCCACCCGCAGGACCGTCCTCCTCCTCCTCCTCCTCCTCCTCCTCCTCCACCTCCACCTTCCAGGTTTGGAACCGCCTGTCCGAGTTCCGGGCGCTCCGCCTTGGGAGGGGTGGGCTTTAAAGAGGGGCAGGAGTTGAGGATTGTTTCGCTTCTTTGTGACAGGTGGGGTTGGCCTTTGGCGCCCCCCCCTCAAGCGGCGTTAAAAGCGTTAAAGGAGGAGGAGGAGGAGGAGGAGGAGGAGGAGGAGGAGGAGGAGGAGGAGGAGGAGGAGGGAGAGGGGCGGGGGTTTTCTGGAAGGAGGAGGAGGAGGAGGAGGAGGAGGAGGAGGAGGAGGAGGAGGAGGAGTGATTCAGGTGGAGGAGGGGAAGAGGAGGAAGAGCAGGAGGAGGAGGAGGAGGAGGAGGAGGAGGAGGAGGAGAGGGGGAGGAGGAGGGAGAGGAGGGGAGGAGAGGGAAGAGGAGGAGAGTAAGGAGGACGCTCCTTTCTGCCTCATCCTGCGCAGCCCCTTCCTGCCCGCGCCTGTGCTCCTGGCCACCGTCCGCCACCGACCTTTCCTGCATCCTCGTTTCCTCGCCGTTATCCTCCCGCACCCTTTCTCCCTCTTTCCTCGTCCCTCCCTTCTCCCCGGAAGAACGTAAGACTCGAGTAAGCCAGAACTCGGGTTCACCGGCGTTTTTCGACGAGCGCGTCCCATATTTTGACGGTCCAGTGTTCGTGGGATGTTTGCAGCGGGAGCTCGCGTCAAATTTCAGATTGGGCCTCGTCGTTTTCATGATGACCCCTATCGGGCCAACCCGAGTCCCCCGTATCCGAGTTTTTCGTCTCCACGACCATCGGGTCCTTGACGCTCCTTTTTGCATCATCCTGCGCAGCCCTTTCATGCCCGCGCCAGTGCTCCCGGCCACCGTTTGCCACCGACTCCTCCTGTCTCTTTTTTCCTCGCCGTCGTCCTCCTGCAACCTTTCTCCCTCCTCCCTCGTCCCTCCCCCCTCCTCCCCCCTCTCCCCCTCGTCTTTCGCTCCCTTTCCCCCTCTCCTTTCTCCCTCGTCCCTCCCTCCTCTCCCCCCTCCCCCCTTGTCCTCGTCAGTGCACCCTTCCTCCCCCGTCTCCTCCACTTCAGCCGTTCTGGTCCAGGTTTGGGCGCAGCAGCGAGCTTCAGAACGGCTGTGCTGCTGCGGGCCATTGGCTTGTGGCATCGCTTTCGCTACCCACTCAGGGCGAGGGGCATTTCCCCTCAGCGCGCGCGCGGATGAATGGGCGCCATGTGGGCGAGGAGTACCCCTGGCGAGCGGGCCGTCCGTTCACGCGTGCCCCTACGTGGAAGTGCAGCTCGTGCGGCTGTGGGCGGCAGGAACAAGACGATGACGCCCTGGTGTAAGCACTGCGGCAGGCCCTGGGCTTCTCTGTCGTTTCGGGCTGCTCCTGCTCCTGGTGGTGTCTGGGCTGGTCCGCACCTTGGTGGACACCTTCCCGCTCTCGCCCTGGTCCTCAACCGTTCGGTCGCCTCGGAGGCAAAGCTGGTGGAGTCAACGGGGCTGGCGGCGGCGGGAAGAATGCCCATGTCTAGGGCAAGGGAGCAGGCGGCTTCGGTGGCAATGCTGCGTTCTCGCGACGCGGACCCCTTGGGCAGTTTCCCCGTCCTCCGCTGCCGCCTGGGCTGTTTGCCGGTCGTGGCCAGAGTGCAGCACAGGCCGCCCGTCATGAAGCCGAGTATCGCTGTCCGACTACGAGACCTTTTTTGAGCTTCGCAAGAAGGTTGGCAATGCGGTTGAGGCCCATCGCTACCAGTGCATGCTCAACGCCCGCGAGCCGCCCGTCAAGTCTGACGGGCCTTTTGAGGAGCAGTTGGCGCGTACGCGGAGGGAGCGTGCCAAGCTCGATAGGAGGATGCAGCGCGAGTTCCAGGCTCTCGAGAACTGGAAGGCGAAGCTCTCCGCGCAGGAGACCCTCATCATTAATCGCGATGCACAAGGACAAGGTGCGCGCCCGCGTGCGCGAGCTGGCCCCTGCTCGCCGCAGTAAGGAAAGCCCCCTCCCGCTGAGGAGTGAGGAGGGGTGTGAACTGCCGCGCAATTTTTCAGCGCTCGGTGCATCGCTCCGTGCTGTCAGCGCGGCTGTCTCTCGCTATTCTAAAGCTGGCGCTCCAAGCCATCCCGTTGCCCGAGCCCCCCCGGAAGATTTTAGCCGGATTGTGGAGACGACCAATGGGGACGTCCCGTCTTCGGTGAAGGAGCGGCTGCCCCAACGTTCTTCCTACGTGCTCCTGATTCATGGATGGGATTGCGTCCCCTGGGGCCTCAGAAGGTGTGGCCCCGCCGTGCTGTCGAAGGCTTTATGCGCCGGCCTGGAGGCCAAGTTATTTTCCTCTCCTCCCTTTACTTCAGGGATTCAGGAGGATTGGGCGAACTGAACCTCGACATCTTGAGGCACTCTCGGGGCTCGGCTATCTTTGCTCGGCTCGCCCTTGTTTGTGGGGTCGATTTCAATGCGGGGCCGTCGACTATACGTGAGAGTGAGTCCGTCCACAACCTGAGAGGCCACTTGGTGGCGGTGGAGGGTTGCGCGTGCTTCGGCTCGGGCGAGCCCAAGAAGTGCGACTGCTTCGTTCCCTCGGGCGGCCTCGTACAGGCCGTTCGCTCAGTTGATGTCAATCAATCGGGCTCGACTTTTTCGCTTCGCGTCCCTGTTGAGGTCCTATTCCACGTCGATAATGCTGACCGTCACGTTTTGTCCTTCCGCCCCCCCCGATCGCCGTGGATGCCCCGATCGGCCCTTCACCTGGGCCCCCGCGTTGCGGCGAGGTCTCGGTGCTTGTGGATAAGGCCTTGGTTCGAGGCCACATTGGGGGCGTGGGCGTCCTGGGTTCTCTGAGGAGCTGCGCGCAGGCAGTGGGCCAACGCGGCCGAGGAGGAGCTGTGTCTTATTATGGGTTTTACCCTTTCATGCTATGGTGCTCGAGGTAAGGCGGCGGTCCTGTGGCGGCGCCCCGTCCTGGGGCTTGGCCGCGGGGCAGTCTGCTACCCTGAGCTGCGCAGTATGAAATGGCTCCGGGATCAGCGCCAGATGTTTCATAGGCTCTTGCGTTCTCGAGGTGATTCCTTGTACGGTCGTGAGAGACAGGCCCGGCAGGGCCTCGGCCGGCTCGGAGGAGGCCGGGGGGGGGGCTGCG